TCGGACGGATCGAGGTAAGAGAGGATACGGTAACCGCCAGTGAGGTCTGTTGAAGGCATGTAAGTACCGGTGAAGAGATCTTTCTTTTCGACTTTATCGACATCGAATAAAACCGGGAAGCTTTTACCGTCGAGTAAAGCCACAACTTGTGGATTCTCGGCGATAAAACCTCCCGGTGGCATGTTGACTCGGTACACGGTTGAATTGTATTTACGGATTCTTGATTTGAAGAACTCTTCAGCTCCTTGGTCGTAAAAGTAATCCCAACGGTCTTTGATTGGTCCAACGATTGGTAAACCGTAGTTTCCCGGTATGTTCCGGATCGGGAGATCTTTAGATCCGGTTCGTGTCGCTACGGCTAGATCAGGAGGTGTTTCTGACCCGGAAGCTTTGATCGGACGGGTCAAAACTCGAAATTTCAACGGCTTTGATCGTACGATCTTTGGGTGGAGAGAAATCGGAAAAGGAGTTGAAACAGAAGCCATCTCTTCGAAACAGTGGCGACTAGATTTTTTTTGTAGATTTAAAGAAAGAAGTAAATTATGTAATGAATGATTATTGTGTAGAATTGAATTTGTATTTATAAAGGAAATTAATAAATGTGAATGAAAATTGAAAATAGTGAATTTACGGGCCGTGGAAGGAAGATTCCTTTTTCAGACTACGCAGTTATTAAGAGATCTATTGGAGACTCTGGGCCACCGGCCGATTCATTTAGCCACGTGCTTTGACTCTTTTTTTTTTTTTTTTTTTTCATTTTATAAAAGTTGGTACTTTCTTTTCTTTTTAACGTTTAAAATTTGGTAATATTCTTTTAGTTCAAAAAAAAAAAAAAAAAGTTGGTACTATTCTCATGTTTGGTGGAGCTTGTGGCTCTGTTTTTTGTAATTTTGTTTGTTTGTTTTGTTAATTCCTCATCTTATAATATATCCTGACATTGTACAATATGCGAGATTTGGCAAAAAGTTGAGTAATTTTTTTTTTGGTTTAGACGTTCAGGTTTAATTCATAATTTTTTGGTTTGATTTAGTTCTATTAGATGTGAATGCCACATAAGTATCATTAAGAAAAAAGAGACGTCACTTTTATAAATTAATGGAAGTAATATCCAGAGTTTTTAACCCCAAAAAAAAACCAATAATATCGTGTTTAAAATAAATAATTTTAAAAAGTTTGAACTTTCAACTTTTATGAGAAATAAAACAATTTGACAAAAATATGTATTATTTGAAGAGTTCCAAAAGGTAGAGATAATGTTTAGTCATTTTCCCTATTATGTATTACTATCATATTTTATGGAGTATCTTTTTGTTTTGGTTTTATTTTTTATTTTTTTTTTCTATTCCCCTTATGATACTAATTTGAAATATTTTAAACAAATATGCACGTGTCGAAATGATATGTGTATTTTATCTGAAAATCTGGCTCGATAAAGAATTTTTAAGTATTCGAAAGAGTTAACATGTACCAAACGTTAGTTTTGTATCTTAGCGCAGTATCTTGATTATTAACGAACATATTTCTCTTCTAAATTTTCACATAATACTCACTATTTTTGGACCAACATGATCATTTGTCTCGAGTGTGTATATCGGTTTTATGATTTCTTGGGAAGAATATCCTTAATTTGTTTCCGGTAAATTGGAAAGAAAGAAAGAAAATATTTAGGTCATCTTTTTGAATAAACCTCAAACGTATCGGAAATTGAAATACACAGAATTTTTTTTTTTTTTTTTTAATAAGTTAACACTTCCGAATTAGGAGTGGCCAATGGCTATTGATGAAAACAACATTTTGAAAGACTGTAATAGGCCCAAGTTTCGAGATCGTAAATCCTTTGTACCTTTTTTCGAAAGGATAAGCAATGAATACACACAACTGATTTCCTTGACCACCGAATTTGTCCCATCATTATGTTGGTGATATGTTGTGTTTTAATCTGTTTTGAATATTCTATCCGTTTCACAAAAAGTGTAATTTTGATATATTTTACACAAATTAAAAAAACTTTGAATTATAAATGTATCCATATTTAATAAGTGATTTTTTTTTTGGTGCAAAATTTAGTAAGTAATTAATGATTTAAATTCAATGAGAAGTAGCTTTAGATTGAGGGTAAATCAGGAAATTTTGGGTAAAAATTACATTGAAAATGTAGAATGACACTCTTTGTGAAACAAAAATAAAACTCTAAAATAACACTCTTTGTGAAACAGAGGGAGTATTTGTTTTCTTTCCTCTATCATATCTTTTATAGAAAAATGTGTTTTTAGAGTCTTTTAATCCTTTATCGAGTCTATATAAGTTTTAGGTTGCTTTGGAGGAAAACGAACTATTTGAGATTTAAACACATATTTAGAGATGCAGTTTCATTTAGAAGTGTCAGATTTTTGGCCTTAGATGGAAGACTTCCCAAGCTTGATGAAGATGTTAGCTTGATTTTCCAAGTGATTTCAACGAAATATAACGATGCATTTAAGAGTTATATCTGAATTACTAAAGACAGGTCATTCTAACGAGCATTTGAAGCAGTTGCAGAGTTGGACACCAGAAGCTCCAGATCGATCGATCCACTTGTGCATCGATCGATCCAATTCCTATGACGGACGAACATCAGTTTCCAGAGACGCAGGATCGATCGGTCCACCCACCTGATCGATCGATCCAACCTTAGACACACAATTTAGTTTTTTCCTTAACCAGTTTTATTTCATATTTTATATAATTCGGTATAAAAACCCAGAAACTTCAGTTTCTCATTCAAGTTTTTTATTATGCAACTTTTTGAGAGCTTTTCTTTTGTAAGAAACCTTGGGAAATAATCTACCCTCTTTGAGAAATTGGAGAAGATTACTAAACCTTTTTCTTTATTTATCAATTCAATCATGTTTTCTTTTATATGTTATTCCTTTTGCTATGAGTGAGTAGTCATCTAGTTGGGTTTTAGGGATTTCATTAAAGGGATTGAAGGATTGGTAAATTGAATGATTAGCTATTGAATAATTTATGTTAGTTTCTTCATCTTGAATAAGTTTAATGCTTGAATTAGATTCATCAAGTTGTTTTACGCACCAAAAATGTTTGATAATATACCTTAATCAATTTGAGATGAGCAACATTCTTCTAGCTAACGAGAGTTGATGTTAGAAAGTGTTGTGAACTTATTGGACTTGAGCTTAATGCTAATTTGATTTCATGATTACAAATGAGAGTTTAGTAATTGTTGATTTCGTATTTAGGGGCTAATTCCTCGAGAGAGGATTAGTCTATTTTCGTGATCCATGTTCTAGAATAGTTCTTAATTAATTACCCTTGATTTATTTATTTCGTTTTGTTCCTCAATCCCAAAGAAATCTTCTAAAACCCAGCGCTTTTATTTTATCGTTTAATCAATCGTTATTTCATTGTTTATTTTATTTTTTCCTTGATAACCCAAAAACCAAACAACCATTTCGTTTTAGCTAAGAACGAGTCTCGCAAATCCTTAGAGTAGCTTTGGTTCTTGTGGATCGATCTCGTATACACTATTTTGCGGTTAAATATATTGGGTAATTACTCGAGTAATCAAGTTGGCGCCGTTGCCGGGAACCAATTGTGTTACCTAAGGATTTAAGATTAGTTTTTCTTCTAGAGCATTTTTATTTATTGCTCACTTTCATTTGTTTTTTTTTTTGTTTTTTTTGACCAAAGAATACAATGATTGGCTGCAAGAAGAAGAGGATGAGCTCTATGTGGAGCCACCATTTGATGGAAGTGTTCTTACATAGGAACAAAAAGTAAAGTTTGATGAACTTCACAACGAACATCCAACATTGGTAAGGAGTGATTTAGCGATTTTGATCCGGTTGAACCTCTTATCATTTCGGGCAGCATGTGAAGGAAGAGAACTTACATTCTATGAAGAACAAAAAGCTCGTGCGCTTAAAAAGGTACTCCCTCCGTTTCGTTTTAGTTGTCGTTTAAGGTTTTTTCACACAAATTAAGAAAAGCATTAAATTTTCTGTTTTATCCTTTATTAGTATATTCTATAAAAAAATTCATTGGCCACAACATTAAAACAATAGGGATAACACTAGAATTTTTACCAAACATTTGCATTGAAAACCTAAAACGACAACTAAAACGAAACAAAATTTAAGTCCTAAAACGACAACTAAAACGAAACGGAGAGAGTAATATATTGGGTTCCACCAAGCACTACAACAAATATCCACATTGATAGCACAAGAGGATAGCTCATTTTCCGTAACCGCTATGAAAGATAAAATTTTATTTTAGTTATTATATAATAGCATTGAAACAACGCTAAAATAGAACATCACTAA